TAACTCCCCAGGTGGCTTCTTATTCTAGAGTGGCAGTACCTTTTTCTAGTTTAACTCACTGTAAAAATAGATTAGGCCAATGGTTCTCATCTGCAAGGCCATGGTAGCTGGCCTGCTGCTTTTAGAGCATCCTTAATTGGAGCCTGGCTATGGGGACACGGGGGGCTCTGGGTGCAGGTGTGGTACTCTCAATTTGGGAACATCACATTAACTCAAACCAGGAGAAAAACAACCACCTGCAGGAGTGTCTGCACTGCCACAGGGCTGTCCCTCAGCAGGTGCACAGGACACACAAGGCAGTTATCATTGCATTCTTCTCCTTTCCTTGCAAGCCTTCTGATGAAATCCTTTCTTCTTTTAGTATAGTTTTAATGTAATATATATCATAAAATAATAAATCAGCCTTCTGAAACATGGAGTCAGATCCTCATCTCTTCCCTCTTCCTGGGACCCCTGTGAACATGGTCACACCTTCCTGCAGTGCTCTCTGCCCACCATAACCAAACAGCACTGCAGCAGACCCACAGCCTGCCCTTCACAGCACCCCAAGGCCTCCTGGTAATGCCATTTTCGTTTGAGGTTCCTTTGAATTTACCATTTATCAAGCTTCCATTTAGCCCCGTTAATCACAGCCTATCAAGCTCTTTCAAATGCAAACACGGAAATGTACCCGGCAACTGCACTCCTCCCGTTTATCCTCCTCCTGCTGGAATTATGGAGGGCTACAAAGCAGGAATGCCAACCCACCTGTCTCATGCTTTTCAACCACTTCCCATGGGATGAAATCAGCTGACTATTCTGGAAAAAAAACCAGACTGATCTCTTTCCCTGCCAGCTAGCAACATTCAAGGAGAGCAAACAATGTGTTGTGCAGGAGAAAGAGCATCCCTGTGAAAGTCAAGGGGAGAGGCAGATGGGCGGCTCCAGCAGCTCAGCACCTGCAGCAGCACATGGATGCTGTCCATGGGAGCAGGGCACAGCCAAGCCACCTTTGTCACAGGCTGTGCATTTCCTAGCTGGGCCTCTAGAGCCAGGGATCTCACAGCTCACTTAATCCCCGTCAAACGATACACCATTTTTTTTGCTTTGTTTGGGTATTAAGGCTTAGCCTTCCTCAAGCTATTCATTCCTTTTCCTCAGTGCCTACGTGGCTGTTAACCCCAGTGCTGACATGCTTCTGAGGGCTGCAGGAACAGCTCTGTCAGGAGGAGCCACATCACCCTGCAGGTGTCGTTTGTCCGGGCAGCAGTGCCGAGTCCTGACTCAGTCCTGTCAGAGCCCCACTCACAAACCCTTGCCCACTGCTGTGAGACCCACGGTGCTGCATTCATTCCTTTCCCCTCCCCAAGTCTGACAGCTTTGCTGCTGCTCTTTGCTCGAGCCAAGCCCAGCACACTGTCCTGGGAGCGATCCTGATTTCAGGGGTGAGGTGCAGGCGATTGCCACCCACCATCAGCTGCCCCTGGTGCTGCTGCCGTGGCCAAGCACCCCGTGCTCCATTCTGAGCCTGCAGCTGAGCAGGACCTGACCTAGGAGTGGGCTTTAATTAGAGCTGGACCCAGCTTGCTACTGGTACCACCCTGCACCTCCACCCAGCCAGCAAAGCACCCGGGCTCCATTGTCCTGTCAGGAGCAGCACCTGCAGAGAAAACCTTTCAAAATATAATATCTCTCTATATATAAAGAAAAAACACATTGGATGGTAAAAAGTTACAGTCTACAACTGTGCAAGCTCTAAACAAGGCTCTGGCAAGCAGCAGAGCTGGTGAGGGGCTGTGGAGGGGAATGTGCAGGAAAGCGCTCGGGAAGGAGACAAGGAGAGACAAGCAGATTAATAGAAGATGACAGATTTCTAGTAAGATTGTGATAAGCCTCTTGAAACTTCCCTAAAGGATGAGCCAGCTGGCAAGCCCATCCTCGGAGGTGGTGTAAGTCGACTAACAGCCCTGCAAAAGCCACCAGCTGACCCCTTTCACACATCCCTGCTCACTCCTGCAGCTGCTTAAGCACGGAAAGCTGAGCAGGCCACGCCTGGATGTTCTACCCTGGCACCCACCTGCAGTTCCTTGCAGAGAAGCCACTGGCCCTGAACTGTTCAGAACAAGCAGCAAGGTCGGGCTGACCGCAGCACGGCACAGCTCGCTGCCCTGCTCTGCTGGCACCCAGCACATTTCACTGCCCACAAGGGGTTAATCCTGACCCCCGTCCCCAAGCATGGGGCCACGAAGCTGCCAGGAATTGGCACATGGCTCCTGGAAAGGGCTTTGCCAAAGCAGGGATGGGAATGACACGGTGATGAGCGGGACCCCTGCATTATGCTTTGCTTTCCTTCCTAAATTCAGCTCTGCTGGGATCCCCCCAGAGCCAAGTCCTGCAAAAACACCACACCCCAGTGAACAGGTTTAACCTCTGAGGAGGAAGAGGAGAGGGCTACCACAGGCGAAGGCAAGCTTGAAGAGCTAAGATTTTTACCCTTCAAAGGACAACACCTTCCAAACCTGCTGGAGGTGCAGTGGACACCACACCCAGGTATGGCCAAAAGAAGGAGCTCACTGTGTCCCCTTGCCAGTGCCACAACAAAACCCTGTCACTGCCTGAAAGTGGAGCTTTCACCTGGAGCACCTTCCTCAGGATAATGAACAGCAGCAGCCAGTTTATTTGGTATCAGGCAAGTTTTTCTTCTTAGGCCAATTAGCTGCTGATATAATTTGCCCACCGAGGTCACTGAATCATCATTTAGCAGTTTCAAAGGAGATGAGATGAACTGCAGGCCAATTTCCCCCCTCCAGCTCAATGAGTGATTCAAAATGCAGTTAATGATAGTGGCTCATAAGTATCTGGCAGAGGATTTGAGAGAGCAATTGATTGCCCAAAAAGAGCTTGATCTCTTTCAGCCAAAGCAGCTCAGCTGGTGAAGATGTAGGATGTGATTTTGCCACCTTGCTTGACATTTGTTAAATACTCAAGAGCTGCGAAGCTTAAGTCAGACACAAAAAGAAAAAGGAGAAGACGACCCAAAATCAGGGTAAGGAAGGTCACAGTTAAAATTCACTCTGTCACCAGCAGGCAAGAGACCTTTTAAAGGATGGGGAAAAGAACCAAGTAATAACCAACAAGACTCTCAGCACAAATCCTGCATTTTTGTGAGTTTATATAAGATAAAAATGAGACACCCCCTCATCCACAAAAGCTTCGTTATTTGTCAACCTCAGGCTTCGTAACCAGTAAACATTGGTTGATGTTTTTCTTCTTGCTGGATGAAATGTGCCTAGAGGCAACAGGCATTTTATAAATTATTAAACCAAGGGAAAATAGGGTTCCAACAAAGTGACTGCAGAAGCACTGAGGAGTTGGTACAATTGGTACCAGCACACTTACACAGAGTCATTTTTCCTACAACAACTGACTCAACAACAAGACATTGTTAGAAATGCACATCTTGGACACGTGGTGTTGATGGCAAAAAGATGATGTGATATCTCAGCATTTCATCACATCCATCACACATATCTGGAGTTCAACACTTTAAACCTTATTTTTCTTATTAAATAGTCACTTACATTTTTCAGTCAGAGGGAAAATTAGCTTTTTTTTTTTAAATTCCAGCCTCATGAGAGATCTCAGGACATAAAGCAAAACCCATGAAAATACTGTAATAAGAGTATTATAATATCATCCACAGTTTTTATCCAACCCATAGCATTGAGAAGGAAAGGAAGGAAAAAACATGAATGAAAAAGGTATTCGCTACCTGGGTTTAATAAATTACATCTCTCACAACAAACACAACCCACCTCCAGACTAAGTTCTGTTCCAGCCAGAAAAAACCCTTCTGCTTTCTGCCATAACAGCACTTGGCCCTTCCATCTGTGAAAAACCACTTAACAGTAATGGCAGGGCTCAGGACAGCAGGTCAGGGGAGGCTGGGTCAAGGTGACAGCGAGGGCAGCCCGGGCAGCCGCTGCTCCCGAGCTTCCCTGAGGGTTTGTTAGGGAACGGGAGGGCTCAGAGACGGGTTTGGGGGTTTTTTCCAGGTTTGTGAACCCTCTCCTTTCTCTGACAGTTTGTGAAAAGCCACTTTTCCAGCTATTACTCTACTGCAATTTGAAGCATCTTCCTCCTCCTCCCCGAGCGCTTTTCACCGTGCAGAACAGATCTTTTCACGATAAGCAAATAGAGATAAACCAGAATTTGGTGGCTTGTCAGTAAACCAAAAGCATCTCTGCCACCAGTGCCACCTCAGGCCCTGGAGCAGGGGCTGAAGTTCAGACTGAAGTTCCCCGGGTCTGCCAGAGCCTGAAGGAGCCTGTCCCCAAAAGCCCTTCACCCCACCTGAAATTAACACTTGCAACGCCAATTTCAGCAATTACGGTTGCTTGTATTTACACTACCTCGAGTCCATTTCTTCCACACCCCTTTCGTGCCAGGAGGGCTCGGAATTCCACACGCAGCGAGCAAAACCCACCCACGAACATCCCAGAACATCCCCAGCGACCCGCGCTGCAAACACCGCTACAACCCGAGCCACAAAGCTGCGCGGAGAGAGCGGGGGGAAGGAACATCCTCATCATCCATGTGCCAGGGAAGGGGCCGGGGTGAGCCGAGCCGGGGTGAGCCGAGCCGGGCTGAGCCGAGCCGGGCTGAGCCGAGCCGGGCTGAGCCGAGTCAGGGTGAGCCGAGTCAGGGTGAGCCGAGCAGGGCTGAGCCGTGCCGGGGTGAGCCGAGCAGGGCTGAGCCGTGCCGGGCTGAGCCGATCAGGGCTGAGCCGTGCCGGGGTGAGCCGAGCCGGGCTGAGCCGAGCCGGGCTGAATCGAGTCAGGGTGAGCCGTGCCGGGCTGAGCCGAGCCGGGCTGAGCCCGCTCCGGGCTGGAGTTCCCCAAACTCCGCCGTGCCTACAGCGGGGACCGCGCCCGCCCGCGCTCGCAGCACCCCCGCAGCATCCCCAGCCGGACCGAACCGAGCCAGCCCCGCTCCCCGCCCGGCCCCGGCCCCGCACTCACCGCGGAGCTGCGCGCAGCCAGCCCGGCCCCGCAGCGCGGAGGGGAGCGCAGGGAAGCGCAGGGAGGCAGCGGCGCCGCGCAGAGCCGGTCCCCGCCCGCCTCCGGCCCCGGCTCCTCCTCGGGGCGGAGCTGCGGCCGCAACCGGGGCCGGAGGCGGGCGGGGAGCGGCGCCCGCCCCGCAGGTGAAGGCGCGGAGCATCCCCGGGGATGCTGCGGGAGCGGCCGCTGCGGGCTCCGGGCACACAGGGAAAGGCCGCGTGGGGCGGGCGGGGCGGTTTCTGTCGCCGGGAGGGGTAATTAGGATAAATAAATAAATATATTTTTTTAAAAACCTCTTTGAATTTCGTTGTAAGGCCGCGCCCCTGCCTGCCCGCCCGCCCAGCTGCCTATGGGTAAGGTTTACCCTGACTTTTGGCTTAGCACAAGGATGCTGCTGCCCCCACTGAGCCTGGAAGGTGTATATGTGGTTTAGAAGCTGCTTTGCCACGGTTTTTGGCATGAATATCTGAGCCTGGCAGCAGGTTCATATTTGCTGGGATATGTTCCTATATGATGGGGTCACAGAGAATTTTTTAGGAGGAACAAAATCCCCCCCCCCCCCAATGCAGTGTAACATGGTTTTAAACACTGTGACTGATACCAAAATCAAAGGTTATTCCTGAAGTGTGCCTTATGCCAGTTTTATAGGAAGATAAGAGCCATTGCCAGGAGTCAAACCAGTCACTGGAGCTGGGAGAGAGGCCAAGAAGCCTCCTGGGGCAGGGAGTGGCACTGGGGAGCCCACACTCACCCACTGGGAGCAGAGCAGATTCCTCATGCTGCTGTCAGATATTGTGTCTGGGATCAGTGGCATTTTCCAGGGTGAAATGGGTTTCAGAAGTTTGGAGGATTAATCACCATGGACTCTATTTCTCCTTGGGAAAGAGTCTCCTCCCAGGATGAGCAGATCCATGGGGAGCAGCTCTGACACCGAGCTGTGAGGTTTCACTGAAACCCTTCTATCCCAAGAGAGGCCTTTAGGTTCAAAATGTGAGTCACTCCCTGAAACAGGACAAGGTGTAGGTAAGCATTCACGGGTAACAAACCTGAATCTTTGCAGTTGTACAGGAGTGTGAGACACCATCCACAGGGTGAAAGTCTGCCTAAGGTGGGAGCTTTTTCTGACATGAGAGTGAGAGCTCTGTCCAGAATTCACTTATTACTACTGCAGCATGGCAGAACCCCAGTTTAGGAGTCAGCAAGCGACCCACAGAGACATGGCTTAACTGCAAAACTTGTCTTACTGCTGCCTCTGTGTGTGCAAAAATCCAAAACCAAAGCTGATGAGAAGAAAGTGCATCTGCGTTCCCCTCCTCTCCGTATCCACAGAGCTATAGGTGCAGGATGGATGGAATGGGAAGAGCTTTGGCCACGTTAGAGGTTAATTACAGACTTAGCTCAGCAGCCAGGACCTTGGCAGCCCTGGGCTGCGCAGGGTGGAGGCGGCTCTCCAAAGCTGAGCCTGGCAGCAGGAGCCTTAGCCCAGGGCACTGGGGAGCTCAGCAACTTTGCATCAGCCTCTGAAGTCCATAATTCAGTTGTCTGTTTATTGAAATTGTGTTGTAAGCACAGCTGCTTTCCGAGGCACGTATGGAAATGAAGGGGGAGTCTCATAAATGCCCTGGCCCTGCGCCAGACCGGTGAGTCAGCGTAGAGAGCTGAAACGCAGCTTAACAGCTACAAGATAAAAAACCCCTAAAATATCCTCAAAATTGCTCTCACATCCACCCCCCCCCCCTTTCTGTTCAAATTTGGGTATCAGCATTGTTATTGGGAAGATAAGGAGAATTACAGCCTCAGCAGGATCTTGCAGTGCCCAGGGCCTGGGACGGGAGAAGGTGGAGACCTTCAGGGCAGAGGGAGGGCTGAGCTCATCTGAGAGCCCGCAGGCATCTGCATTATCCTCATTCCTGCTGGCAAATCAAAGCCTTTGCTTCAGTTGCCAATGCAAAGATTTGGAGTTAGAAGAGAAATACAATGTTTGTTTACTAATATGGTCAAAATTCACGGCATCAAGTTTTCTTTTTTTTTTCCCAGTACAAACAAAATTTTGCAGAGACCTAAGTTAAGAAAAAAAAGACATTTCAAAGGTGAACTTGCACAAAAAGCACCACTAAAACATCCAGCAGTTTCAAAGACTCAGTTCCTAGATTCCTTTCCTCATCCAGCATTCAATCCAATTTCACAGGTAGCTTTGGTTGCTCAAACTCCTTTCTTCAGGGAGCTCCCTATTTGCTGGAAAGATTTCACCTAGGCCTAAGAAGGGGATTTTTCTCTTGTGCTTTCATAGTACATAAGTTGCTCAGTGGCCAGAGGAGCCTCCTGGATTAAACAAGCAGGTGGAAATCTGCAGTGGCTGAAGGACACTGAGCAGTCCCTGTGCCTTGGATGCACAGAAGGAGCTGCCACGGGCTGTGCTGGGAGTTTAAAGTGAAGAAATGAGGTGACAGCAGAACTGCAGGCATGCAGGACACATGGTGCAGGCTGTGCTCTCTGCTCCAGCATGCAGTGCTGCTGTCAGCCTGTCAAACACACAGCTGGGCACAGCTGGGCTGCAGCCCCACACAGGGCTCAGGGTGCTGCTGTGTTTTCCTCTCCCCTCCTCAATTTGTGCTCCCAATCTCTGCAGTTTTTGTGCCCTGGCAAAGTTCTCCTTTCGTGGTGTTTCAAGGTCTCCTGGGGTGTTTGTTTGACTCCAGCTCAGAGCTGCTGTCAGATGGAGAGCGAGCAGCCCATGTCCTCACTTAAACCTGCTGTGAAGAGGCTCTGCAGAGCAGAGGAACGTGTCCTCTCCCTGCCTGCACATCCAACCACCCCTGGGAATGCCCATGGGCACCCTGGCAGCACCCCGAGGGCTGGGGAGGAGGAACAAGGCATGAGACAGCAAATGAAGGCAGAAGTTGGCCACGGCTGCTCCGAGTGCTGGGGCTCACCCAGGGCAGGAGGTGAAGCCAAGGGAGGCACAGAAAGCACTGGGAGGGTGCTGGGAAGGAAGGTGGGTAAAACAGAGGTGGGGAAACAAAAGGAAATGGGCACACTTGCAGATGAGGGCAGGTTCTGAGCACAGATAGTGGGAGGAAATCAGTGGTGCAGCACAAGGGGAACTGCGGGGTGGCGGGAGGGGAGGAGTGATCCAGCTGTGGGGTGTGGGTTCTCCAGAAGGCAACAGCAAGAAAAGGAAATGATGTTCAGGCCAGACTGTTGCCAGTGGTGAAAAAATATCATAGAGAAAGATTCATGAGTAAGAACACTGACATTGATTATTCTCTGTTAAACAAACAAACAAACAAACAAACACCGAATTCAAGGGCCTGAAAAGTGCTGATGTCATGGGAAAGCTCTCAAATGTCTCACATGTGGAATAAAAACCAGAGTCTGGCTTAAAAAGGAAAATTAGATGAAGGAAATCAGTAAGAGAAGAGAGGACACAGGAGGGCACCAAGGGGAAGGTGAAAGTAGCAGCAGAATTGAGGGACTAAAAGAGACAGAGGGGTAGATTTGGGATATTCATGCTGATTTCAGTAGAAGGTCGGGAGAGAATATAAGAGATTAGCTGAAAATAAACCAGAATGCAAAACCAAGGTGCATTCATCTGGTACAACTGAATTAAAAAGCGCTGCAGCAAGAAAAGTCAAAGGTAACTGATATTTCATGCTCCAGCTTCAGATTAGTAAAAAAACATTGCAAAGGTTGGTGGGAGGGGCTGTGACCTTGGGGACATCATCTGCACCAGGAAAGTCCACATCTGCACCAGGAAAGTCCACACCAAACTGGGCAGTGACTGGCACCAGGAATTCCCAACACACCAGGAAACTCTCCAAGTGTATCCTCACCACTGCAGGAAAATTGAGACGTCGGATGGTGCCAGTGGCAGTTTGTACCTTGCAAATAGACCAAAAGAAGAAAAAAGGATTAATTGATCAATCCCCAATATTAATTGATCAAACCCCAATATGATAAGGATGTACAGCACACCCTTATCACAGGCTGCCACTCACTCCTCCTCTTCTGCAGGCACAAAGGCCAACTCGCAGCAGGCAGAACATTCAGTGCCAGCCCCAGCACTCAGCAAGGCACTGAAAGCTGCACTGTCACACCAGGACCTTCCCAGCATGGTCACCTGCAGGCATAAGGGCCAGGAGCAGGTCTGGAGAGAAAAACCTCTCTAAACCCACAAAGAGCCTGTGAAGGATTTCAAGCCTTGGCAGGAAAGAAGCGTTACAGGCTGGTGGGCAAAGATCCACAGCTTGCAAGGTCACAAGTCAAAATCCCTACGCTCAGGAGCTGCCTGCTCACACAGAGTGAAGCTCTGTCCCAGTTATCAGCAGCAATTTGTTATTTACTCCTCCTCATCCTCGGGCTGAAGCAATGGGTACTGCCTGCCCCACCTTGCCAGGGATGCCTGCAGCCAGAGCAGTGCCCTGGTACCAGGTGAGCTCATCTGTGGGCTCACCTGAGTGCCTGGCATGGAATCCTCTGGGGTTGGCTTTGGGGGGATTTGCTCTGGAGGTGGTTTTCTCCCCACGCTGTGCACAGGAGCTGCAGTGAAAGCAGGGATTGCACTGCAGCACAGCACAGCCCTGCAGCAGCTCTGGTTTTATCCCACATTTAACCCCCACCCCTTCTCCAGTGCCTCCAATCCCTGCTGGGGCCCCCCTCCTGCTGCAGCATGTGGGGTGAGTGCCATCTCATCCAGAACTTTCTGGAGAGACCACCCAGACAGCTCCAAGCATTTCTCTCTGTCCATAGTTTGGGAGATGAAAACCTTTTATACTGCTACAGCTTGTTTCCTTCCTCTCACCCTCACAGGGCACTTTAATACCTGTTATTTACCATCTTCACTGCATTTTGGGGAAATTATTCACAAAGGTCATCTCAAGGTGCAAACTTTGTACCTGGATGGAAACTTTGAAGGTCAGCAGTAAGCTGGTTTATGTTTATTACAGACCAGAACATGAAAGCACAACGTTGCTGGTGCACTGACACACTGGCAATAGACTGATATCAGGGATTTTAAAGGTCACAGCTGCTCATGAGGAGGGGAACCT